GAGTCTAAAATCACAAGTACAGACATATCTAGGACCCCTGTCCTTCTGGATCCACACTCCCTTCAGGGTCTTCATCATTATAAATGTTCTCTGCCTGCCAAAAAAAAAGGAAAGAGAAAAGACTATTTAGTAAATATGAAGCTGATTTCTAAAGATGCAAATGTAAGCAAAAACAGGAATAAAGAGGGAGACAAAGCAACATAGGGAGGCCATTGTAATAGTCCAGAAAGTGTGATAAGAACCTGACCGAAAAACTAGGGTGCAGAGTTGCAAGCAGGTTGCTGGGTATTTGTGTTTATATTTATAAGATGAAGATAGAGAGACAATGCAGAGAACGATGAACGATAATAAAATTTATTAAGTAAACTAGACGTAGAGGTGAAAAGGCAAGAGTAAGAACTCTTCAGTTTTTAGACCTACTTAATTCGGAAAACAATGGATCCATATAAAAAAGAGAAGTTAGGAAGTGGGAAGGGAAGTAAGAAAAAGGGGGAGAAAGACTAAGTTCTGTTTTGATGAGTGAGTTTGAAATATTAGAGTACTATCAAATAAAGGAAAAGAACCAGCAGCTAACAACAACATCCTGGAAAACATGGCAGAAAAGTGTTAAAGCCACATCTGGGAATAAACTGAATAAAGATGACAGTTGTATTCATAAAATTTATAATGCAAGTTAATATTAGGTATTATTTCTTAACAATGTATATCTTCCAAATGACCAAACACTTACCATCTGCCACACTTGCATGATATTATCTTCTGATACAGAACAAATCACCCAAGGTTCATTGGGATTCCAGGAGAAATCAGATATCTTGGCAGTGTGACCACCATGAATAAACTGAAATAGATAAGATATGAAAGATATGAAAAACAGATAACAGGATATTAAATGATAGAACATTTCAAAAGTGCCCAATGTTGGTAACATACCAATAATTCTGGTGGCCCATCTTCTGCATCTTCTGGGGATTGTTCTTCTCCAATTTTACTAAAGTAGAAACACATTTAAAAGTCAAAATAGATTTTTTAAAGTCAAAATGGAGTTAACTACCTTTTGAAAAAGCATAACTAAATTAAAAAAATGACTCCGTGAAAACCAAAACCAAACCACTGCTGTTGAGTGATTCCAACTCGCAGTGTCTCTATAGGACACAGTAGAAAGTCACAGCCAAGGCTGGAAATCTTTAGGGAAGCAGATGCTTTCATCTTTCCCCATGCAGTGGCTGGTATGTTTGAACCATCGATCGTTTAGTTAGCAGCCCAATGCTTAACCCACTGCACTGTGAGGGCTTTTAACTCCACACAGAGAATAACTAATAAAAGACTTACCTTAAATCCCAGACATTCAGCCTACGATCAGTACCACTGGAAGCCAAAATGGTTTCATTGTGAGGTGACCACTGAACCTACACATAAGAAGGAAATATGAAAGCTGGGAATTTAAGAATGTTTTACTGACACCTAGATTACAAAAATGTCTTTTATGAAAATAACCTATTAAATGAAATGTAGGTGAGTGGCCAAGGTGAAAAAGTACAGAAGTAATGAAGGAGGAAAAAGAATTCCAATGTCCACAAGGACTGGCATGGGCATATATAGACAATTTCTAGGATACACACATCCAGGTTTTCCTAAAAAAGAGATTAGGAGTGTTACTTTTTCTTACCTGGAATATTTCATCCTTATGTGATTCAAAGGAATGCAACTTAAGTTTCAGATTTCTTAGATCCCACAAAGCAACAGTCTAAGTAAAAAAAAAGAAAAGAAATAAACAAGCAACCACTAACTTTTTATAAGGATGAAAAAAAAAAAGGTGGAGAAATTCACCATGCATTCTCTTAAAATACATCAAACAGACCTTGTCAGCTGATCCTGTGGCAAGAATGAATTCACTATAAGGATTGAAAGAAAGGCAGTTCACTTCAGCAGTGTGAGCATCAACTGAGTGACTTGGTTTGGAAGTATTATTTGAACGAATATCCCAGATCATAAGTTTCTGATCATCAGCAACTGACCCAAACAGAGACTCATGGAGCAGATGCCAAGAAACATCTTCAACTACTGCTGTGTGTCCAGTAAAGATGGTCTTTGCATCCACCACTTTTCCTTCCTTTGGAACAGCACTGATGTCCCACAGGCAGATGGTCTTAAATTAAAAAAGTAACCATTTTATAAAAGGACAATTTCCTCCCCCACCCCAACTTCTAAAAGAAACTATCAACAGGAAGCCCAAATTTGTTTCAAAATGGGAAGGATACGCACATGGTCATCTGAAGCACTAAGCAAGTGCCCACTGAGGTTTGGATTCCAAGAAAGCCCATAGCCTTCCTTTTGATGTCCACGGAGGCGCAGATCTGGGTTGCACTCTCCAGAAGGGTCTGCAAAGTAATAGACACATCAAGACTATGTAGTCTACTGGGTTTGTAGGTTACAAAGTACAACAAAACCCACCAAAGCTAGAAAACTGCCATGAAAGAAAAACTCAGATACTTTCCATTAATGGCAGAAAAACAGTACACTGTATCCTGTCAAGGGCAGAAAACTAGCAAAACCGGAAAATAAGGCAGTCCCGCCAGATTCTGGCCCTCAAAGGTTTCATTTTATAATGGAATTTTGTTCAAGAGGTTGGAAACTCAACATTTATAAGCAATATAGAACCTGTTGTGATCAAATAGATAATGCTTAAGCTACACTATCACTGTATGCAGACTTTTTTCTCACTTAACGGAAGAGGCATGAATAAAGAATATCTATACATAGCAATATAAGTTAAAAGATTAAATTATACAAAGAATAAGGAGCAATTAAATTCAGAATGATTGGAGCAATGCATTTCCATAGTGATTTCATTATTTTTGTCTGAATAGAAAAAGGCAGATACCTGGTTTAGAAGGGTGTTTCGTGTAGTCAAAAACAAGAACATCACTGGATGGAGTCTTTGTTGCAATAATGCAAGGGTTCTGGGGCATATAACGGGCCCTGTTTACTTCTCCTTCATGGTTGATCTTGATTTCTATTTCAATTTTTCCACTAACTGAGCCAAAACCTCCAAATTCTGTAAATAAGACAAATTAACTGAAAATGAGAACAAAGCAATAATTAAATACCTTCTCTATCTATATATGCCACTCCCAACTGTAAGGAGACAGGGAGGGCTCCAACCCCTATCCATTCACTGGTGTAATACTCTAGACATTTGTTAGTACTATAAATGCTTTCATGTCCCTTATTTTTGGTCTTACAACAACCTATTAGTTAGTAGGCATCACCTCCATTTTAGATGAGGAAATAAAAGCTTAGAGTGGCTATAGTAATTTTTTTATGGTGACATGACTAAATTGGAGCCAAAACAAATCCCTATTTCATGGATTCCTAACCAAGCATTCCTTCAGCTATACCTACAATGACTCCAGGAAATTGTAATACCTAGAGTAAGAAGCATTAGATTATTTGAAATTAAATGAAACCTAAATTTACAATTTTTAATGAGTAACAAGTACATAATGTGTTTACGCACTAGAGTTCCCCCTACACCATTTATCTGAAACTCTAGTTTAGGATGACCTTTCTGAAGTACCAGTATACTTTCTTATCTTCTCCCTGCCATAGCAGTTAGTTTTATTTTCCTAACCTCCCACTTAACACTCACCAACCAAACTCCTGAGTTGAAATGAACCAGGTAGGCAAGTACCAGACAAAAACGTTTTTATTCATATATATTACATGCTCCCAAGTACCTTTATAAGATACATAACAATATAATTTGTGACTATATAAATCTTGACAAAGCAACATATAAACAAAGGTAGTTTATGATCTATCAAAGAAATACAGAAGGTAGCACAAAAAGGTAGAAAGTTCTTTAGTGAGATTCAGACCTATGTGTAACCTAGACTCTTCACACTTAAAACTGTTGAGTGCCGCCGAGTCTGTTCCGACTCATAGTTACCCTATATAAGGTTTCTAAGGAGTGGCTGGTGAGTTTGAGCCTCCAACCTTGTAGCTCATCATCCCACAGAGCCATACCAGGACTTACAATAGTCTGCTATACAGTATTATTTCATGAAGGACAAAATCTTTCCAAAAAGCAAAGGACATAGATGGGTAATATGGTATAACGTAACTTTCAAGTTCAAAGTAGACTATAAAGGAGAAAGAAAAAAACAAACTAAACGAAAACAAAACATTAAATGAAAATTTCCAGATTAGTTCAAAAGGGACCCTACAATGTATACAAAAGAAGGCATGAAACAAAATGTGATCTCAAACAACTTTTAGTCTCAATGTGAGGAGATAAGTACAAAACTAGGCCTGGAACTGTAGAAATCAGCTAACCACACGAAGGGCAGGCTCAAACCTACCAGCCACTCTACAGGGTCACTGAGTCTGAACCAACTCAAACCAACACTTAACAAAACAAAGAAAAAAACAACACACTCAACTACTGCCCTCATCCCAAAAGTGCACCACCAATAGTAAGAGAAAAAGGAGCTCTGGTAATGTAGTGGTTACACATTGGGCTGCGAACCTCAGGGTCAGCAGTTCGAAACTACCAGCTGTTCCGTGGGAGAAAGATGAGCCTTTCTGCTCCTGTAAAGATTTATAGCCTCGGAAACCCCATACAGGGTTGCTATGAGTTGGAACCGACTCCATGGCGTATAACAACAACAGTAAGAGAAAAGCAATAACTGGCCAGAGTCCACAGATAAGGCTATGAGTTTATTTCAGTACTGGGCATATACTAAACTGAAAGCTTCTCTATTGGTAAAGGAAAGTACCAAACCAAAAAATTCATAATTCATAATTATTGTTGTTGTTAAGTGTCGACGAGCCAGTTCCAACCCATTGCGACCCTGCACAGGGTTTCTGAGGCTGTAAATCTTTACAGGAGCAGAAAGCCTCATCTTTCTTCCGTGGAACTGCTGGTAGTTTCAAACTGCTGACCTTGCGGTTCACAGCCCGATTCGGAACCACTACGCTACCAGAGCTCCACTAAGTCAAAAGGTCAAATTTAAAGTAGGAAAAATAAACTGAGATATCAAAGTATAATAAACTGAATTATTCCTAAAATATGCATGTTTATATTGCATATTGTTTGTGTGTTCCCACATAAGAATTTTTAAACACTGAAGTGTAATATTCATACAGTAAAGGACATATATTTCTTAAGTGTCCAGCTTCAATGATTCCAGGGGGAACCACCACCCAGATAAAAATATAGAATATTCCCAGTGCCCCAGACAGCATCTTCAGGCCCTTCCTAGACAGGCCTTCACCAACAAAAGAGATAACCACCATTCATTCCTATTTTATTTAAAAATCAAACCATTTTTAAGTCAATAAAAATTTTCAAACTAGTAACATTCTCTAACATTGTGAATCAAATATGCAAAAATATTTCATCAGGATTTAATAGATTATATAGAGACAAAACAAACCCTAGCTATTTCTTTGTAAATACAAAACTAGCTCTACAAATAGGATATCAAAATTAAACATATTGATATTCAAAGATCTTTGAAACAAAGTATGAAGTAAAAAAATTAGAATCGCTTTTCATATTTAAAATAGGACAATTTGTTATTGTTGCTGTTAAGTGCCATCAAATTGTTAGTTTTAACCCATAGCAACCCTGTATATGAGTGGCTGGTGAGCTTTGCAGTTCAAACAGAATTTGCAATCCAGCGCATTAACCTACAGCACCATACGAGGAATCCAAAACGGGAAAATAGGCTAAATTTTATCTATCACCCAGGAAATTAGACATTTTGCTATCATCTCCTTCCACGACAGTTGAGATCATATGGATGAAGCAAGTACCAAGCCTATCCAGATATCTGAAAAAGATTTTTTTGGAAGAGAAAGAAAGAAATGGGAGAGGATTATGCTGTGTCACCTTGGAGCAAGTTACAAAATCTATAATGAGGTTCCCTGTGAGAATTAAATCGTGATTTACAGTCATCATCTTATCCATTATTGGAATTATTAAGCATTAGTAAGGAAGGAAGAGTCCTGATGTGGGACTGTGGACTAATGTGCTGCACTGCAAAGTCAGTGTGAACCACAAGGTCAGGGGTTCAAACTCACCTTGGAAATCTTATACAAGGTTGATGAGGAAAAGATCTCATCAAAACATAAAAGGGAAATGACTTAATGACACTCATAACCAGACTACTAGAAAAAGATCTGAGTACTAATCTGGCAACTAAGTAAATGCTAAGAAGCATTTTAAACTAGTGGGGAAATCAGTAAGTCAGTAAACAGTATTCAAGACAAAACTAATCATTTAGAAAAAAGTTTAGATTCCTATTTTGTATCTAACACCAAAGCAGCCTTCAAAAGGATCAAAGCTTTAATGGTGAAAACATAAAAGTACCAGAAGGGGAAGGGGAAAAAAAAAAAAAGTACCAGAAGAAAACGGCTATTTGAAAAGCTCAGAATGGGGAAAGTATTTCAAATAACAAAACCTGGAGGATATACGAGGGGGCTTCAGAGTTTGTGGAAAAATGGAGTTGAAGCCACCTAAATGGAGTCCTGGTATGGCTCTATGGGTTAATGCGCCAGACTGCAAAGCCATTTGAACCGCAAGGTCAGCAGTTCAAGCTCACCAGTTACTCCTTGGAAACCCTATACAGGGTCACTATGGGTCGGAACCGACTCAACAGCAATACACAACAAATGGAGTCCTGGTATGGCACTGTAGGATAAGCACTGGAGTGCTAACTACAAGGTTGATGGTTCAAACTCACCAGCCACTCTTTGGAAACCCTCTACAGGGTCAGTATGAGTTGGAACTGACTTGACAGCACTTAACAATAACCAGAAGTGTCAATCAATAAGATATGTATAGGGTTTTCAAGGAGCAGCTAGGGAGTCCAAACCTGTGACTTTGCGGTCTAGTGCTTATCCTACAGCGCTGCACTAGGACTCCTTAAGAAACATTAAACATTCATTATTTAGACCATGTTCTGACAATTTGGGCTCAAGGGTAACTATATTAACTCGCCAACTCCTACCTCTTTGGAAAGGGAAAAGAGCAAGCATTCCCTGGGAAGCAATCATACCCTTTAAAAACAGGATATAATTAAACAGCTTATGAAAGTCTTATACCACCAATATTAATAAAAACGAGTTACAGCAAAAGTACAGAACAAAGTGTATGTTCAGTATTTCTACTGTGAACTCAGGCTTTCTATCTTGAGAGAGTACTTTACTAAACCATACTTTTTAAATGATAGGTACAAGTTAAAAAACATAGTCTACACACCATTTTTTCTCCATCTTTAAGATTCCTACCTCCTTTCTCACTGTCATAGTGTGACGCATCAAACTGAGCATCATCATTAGGGAGCTGCACACTGGCTATCACAAGATGGTTTTGTTCATCTGATGTGTGTGTTCCCAGAACAAGCCGATGAATGCTGAAGTCTTTCCCTTCTGGTCTGTAAGAACAATGAACGATCATTATTCATTATTAGTAATACATACGAAGACCTCAATGTCAGTGATAACTACATGGATGCAAATGGCACTACTACTACCTTTTTCAAGATGAAAAAGTCATTTAGGGTCATATGTTCTACTTTTAATTTATGTCCCACAGGACTGAGTACAAGAAGGAATGCATGATACTTTATTCCGTCTCTCTTAACTTGGCCAAATATTGAGACTAACTGAGGAAAAAAGTAAAATTTCTAATGGATTAATAACTATGCAGGCTTTACAAATGGATTGGAAAGAAAACAACAGCTGGGACACATTAGTACTTAATATTGTTACAAGTAATAAAATGCAAAAAAGGAAGGTGAAAGGGGACTAGATCAAAGCAAAACACTACAGAAGGTTTATGAAACAAAGTTACCAAGCTGGTTGTTGTTATGTGCCATGGTGGAGTCAGTTCTACTAAGCTGGTAATGATGCTCAAATTTGGAGATATATATATATATGTAGTTTTGTGTACTTTCCAAATATGGCTAATCATTGCAATGCTATTGAAAGCTTTTTAAAAAATATGCAATCTAGAATGACTTTGTAATTCTGAAGTGGTCAATATTTGGGATCCACTGACCTAACATACCTCAGTTACTACATGATAAATCATCATTCACTTATTTTCTCAAATATTCTTCAATGTCTTCCTGTCACAACTTTTTGTTGTGAATTGAGTGAAGGTTCACACGCACAGGCTGGCTTTACATTCAATAAATCGTATACTTTGTTTCATCTTAGTGATTTCAAGTCAACAGTTACTGTGGTTCCTCCCAGATTCTTCTTTGAATTCCACCCACCTTTCTATCTAGTTTGTCCTTAGAAAAATGCTGTCCTCTTGATTTCAAAGGATGGACCATTACATGGTAAGCAGATTTTGTTAGCATTGCTTCCCCCCCACCCCCAATATAAACCTATCTACTGCTTGGCTGAAAATTGGCCCTCAGGGTGAGTTTCTTTCCAGACCTGAAGGGTGGTTGAGGGCTATAGTCTCAGTTTCCTTTGGTCTCTTTCTACCAGTAAACCCAGTCTGTTTTTAAAAAATAATTTTGAGTTTTGTTCCACATTTTCTCCTACTCTATTCTCGATCCTCTAATGTGATCCCTTTTCAGTGCAGTTGTTAAGTGGTAGCAGGACACCATCTAGTTCTTCTGGTCTCAGAGTCATAGAGACTAATCTTTACATGGTCCATTAGTCTACTGGACTGATTCCAACTCTCTTCAATTCTTATCACTCTTCTCTCTTCCACACATGGAGAGACAAATAGCTGCACCTTAGCTTTCCTGATTCCAGACACTACTCACCTAAGAAAGATGTAGAACACTGTCTTTGTGTTAAGCCAATTGACCATGGTATCCCCTGAGACTATGGTCCTGGGTTCCCAGACCCATCAACTCATCTCCTTAAGATGTTTGATAATATCTAGGAATTGCTCACCATTTTGCCCACTGTATGCTCCACCACATTCATAGTTATGTTTCTGTCACAATTTAAATGGCCTGAACTACCACTGAGAACAAACAGAAATTACTCCAGTAACTACTGAACTCCCCAGGTAATTCTGATAATCATTTAATCAGAAGGCTGTTAACCAAATTTCCTCTAGCTGAGCGGAACCACAGTCTATGGCTGGCATGTGACAGATACCTTTATTTCTAAAAATCTGTTTCTGAAGCAATTTTGTTACTAAGTATACACAATTTTGAATGCTATTCTGAAAACCAAGTTTTAGAACAAAATAAGAAACGAGAACTTCGAAGTCATCATGAAACAGTGAGGATTCCCACAAGTATTTTCTCCCTCAATATATACAAACTAAATCAAATGATCTAATCGTATCTATTAGACATAGTGGTCCTGAGTATGAAGTTTACTCTTGGCTACTAACTTAAAAGTTGGCAGTTCAGTTGACACACTCAAGAGGTGTCCTGGGAGAAAGTCCTGACAATCTGCCTCTGAAGAGAACAGAGCCAAGAAAACTCTAAGCAGTTCTACTTTGTAGCTCACAGTATCACTATGAGTCAGAATTCACTCTCCAGCAACACTGCCTTGACCCCTTAAGTAGCTCTCAACAACATACAAGGGGCTTCAAAAAATTTGTGGAAAAAGTCATTGTTTTTTAATGCCATTTTCCTTTGAGTTTTTAAGCCCCCTAGTATAAACCATTAGTTTATGTCACTTTTGACTAGACTATGTGCTCCTTGAAAGCATGTACCTGGTCGTATTAGCCAGCTAATACAAATCAATTTGAGAAGTCAAATGTGTTGTGTTAAAAAAAACTGGGTTTACCATAATACTTTTTTTGAAAGCTGCCAAGCTTTACACTTGGTCAACTTTTTTTTTTTTTTTTTTTCACTTTATTATCAGAGAAAGACACCTGCAATGTGTCTTCTTAGATAGATCACAAAAAAACAAACAAAAAACCCCCGAAACTTTTTATTGAGAGTTGAGTGAATTTCACACTAACTAACTACTTTTTTACCAATAGGTTTTGAACATGTGCCTGCTCCGGGTGACTGGATAGAGGAAAATGGGGGGGCGAGAGGGTCACTGGCAAAAACTGAGAACACATTAAAAGAGATGAGGAGACGAAGTGTACTACGAGATTCACATCACCTGGTTACATCTGGAAGCCACTGTGCAGTCAGGCTGGGCCACTCGAGGGCATGGGTCATCACCAAATCATAAAGAAAAGGTGTGTTCTTTTTCCATATTTTGTACTCCTCATTAATCACCCGTTCTTCCACGGCGTCATCAAAGGCTGCTAAAAAATCCAGAAAGAAAGGAAGTTAGCAAACAAATGGAAACCGTGTACACATGGTACCACCAGCATGGCTCCGGGGTGCAGATTCTGAAATGGAGGGACGTTTGCCCAAATCCTCCCCAGGCGGAGGCACCAACTCCCTTCTCCATCTTCAGGGGCCGGAACTACTCTCGGGTGATGGCAGCCGGACCCTCCGTTAGCCGTTCGTGGCGCCGGGCCTTCGGGGCTGGCACACTCTCCAACGCCATTAGCCTACAGGACCCTCGGGGAGTCCGAAGCCCGACCCTGGGGGTAGGGGCGGCGCAGGGAGGTCCAGGAAAGAGGCAGCTAGGCGGGCAGGAATCGCGGAAGGAAACACCCTGCTGCGACAGGCACCCCCTCCGGAGGCACTGGCGCGCCGTTAGCCCGCCCCGCAGGGAGATTTCTCCTCATGCCTTCGACGCTGGGAACCGCACTCAGCAAAGTCGGGCCTGCCCTCACTGTTAGGCCGTGTCGAGGCCGCAGCATAGCCGGGGCTCCCCTTGGCCCTCCTGGGATGGCCCCGGCACCCTCACCTTCCTTGTCGGCCATGGCGGGCAGGCGGGCAGGAGAGACGGGAGGGAGCCCAGAGTCGAACGTTTCGGGAGGGGCGGGGAGGCAGCGGGCGCTCGCTCAGCGCGCGCGGCCTCTATTGTTTCCTGCTGCCCCTGCGTGAGGCCCTACTCGCGCACCTTCACCTAAACCTCGACCAATCCGAGCACATCGAACGGCGGAGTGGGCGGGGAAGCGGTGTTCGCAGCCTATCCAGACGCGCTGAGTTGCTTTTCGCGGGGCCTAGGCGCGCGCTCCGCCCCCTCCCCCCACACGGCCCAGAGTGGACATCTTTCGTTTGCGCGCGCGGAGGCTGGTGGGAATGCGCACGCCCAGTGTCACGTGAGAGGGAGGTTTAGCCCGCACTCTCCTGGGGGCAGCCATTTTCTTAAAGGCTGTGAAATTCATATTCCTTTCAAAGTACTCAGATAAGAAATAACTTCTGGTCTAGTTATCAATTTGGAGGGCGATGGAGAGAGAGGCCTTTGCCATTCAGGGCAAGAGGTGTCTAACTTACGTGTCCGCATACTCCTAAATTCTTAAATGTTTGTTTCTAAAAAAGAACTATTGAAGCAAGTGCTGGAAATGGGGCCCTGACTCTTTAAAGGCGCACTCTAGGTGGAGGGGGGTCTAGGACGGATGGTTTAAGATCTAAAGTACATCTGCAGCTCCGGAATTATGGAGTCCTAGCCCTTTAAAGGTTAGTGCCGGGTAGTGGAATCTTGAGCGGAAGTTGTAACTGACACCGAAGTCCGGCAGGTGAAGGGCGGAAGTAGAGAGGTCAGTGCTACAATCATGGCGCAAGAGGCTGAAGATGAAAGAGACTACAATTTAACCGAGAAGCAGAAGGCGGTCAAGGCCAAGTATCCTCCTGTCAATCGGAAATACGAGTGTGAGTAGGTGGCTCTCTTTAGCTCTGGGCATAGGGACATCCCTTCTTACCTGCGATTTCCGTTCCCGCCTACCACCCTGTCCTAAAAGATGCTGTAGGCTTGGGGATTCCTGTTTCTGCACGGTGTTGTACGCTCTGGAATATTTGTTCGGGTGATCCTGAAGAAGAGACACCTAGTCTGACTTGGGAAGCCAGGGATCCCACTTTTACGGTATCTTGAACATCATTCACTATCGGATAATCAACTTATGTGTGGGTATTATTAGTGTATTCTAAAAACCATGTTTTCGAGCTTTTGCGGGGCAGTGGCCCCTACGTATATATCCAACAGTGGAAAAGTTAGATGGTGGTCCGGAGAGACGACTCGGAAAGCAAGATGTTGTTAGTTCCGTCAAGTCGGTTCCGACTCAGGGTTTCCAAGGAGTAGCTGATGGATTTGAACCACCGACCTTGGGGTTCAAAACCGACATTGCAGTCAACCACAGCGCTGTGGTGCTGTGGGCTAATCCGTCAGACTGCAAAATCGTTTGAACTGCAAGGTCAGTGGTTCAAGCTCACCAGTCGCTCCTTGGAAACCCTATACAGGGTCGCTAAGGGTCGGAATCGACTCGATGGCACTTAACAACACAGCGCCACACCAGGACTCCTAATAAGGAAAACCAAATAAGGACTTCTAATTTGGTGTTTTACTCGGATCATGGTGTTAGTACAAAGAACTAGTTTTATCATCTAGGCAACTCCCAAAATCTGCCTTTGTCGCTCAGTGTTTTCATTTGAGGATTAAATAAAATAATGCTGAATGTGAAAGTAAGGTACACTCTTAAATCTTATATAAACGTTAAACTGACATTCCTTAGGTGGATGTAGTTTGGGGAGCACAAATCTGACTTCTTATTTCCCTGCGTAAAATCCTTAATTTTCCATTGTCTGTATAAAATTTGTTAACCATAGTGTAGTAGTTTCTGTACTTTCTGGACCCTGTGCATCTCTGAGTGTGTGTGTTCATCTCTTTTGAATTTAGAAGCAGTTTTTAAAATGTATTTTTAATAGATAATATATGTGACTCAAGATCCAAAAAGTCTAACAGCTATGCAGTAAAAAGTAAGTTTTTCAGTCCTGATCACCATCCACTTAGTTCTCTGTAGAGCAAGTATCATTACCATTTTCTTAGGAGTACTTGCAAAGATGTATAACCACTTATTATGTTTAACCACTTTTCAGTTGAAAAACGTTTACAGTGTTTCTAATCATGCTGTTACAAATAGTAACATCCTTTGTTTTGCACATGTAGTAATTTTCCTGTATGTAGAATAAATTTCTGGAAGTTACTGGTAAATTGTTAAAATATATGTGCATTTTTAACTTTGACAGTTATTTTTAACTTTGACAGTCATTGCCATACATTGTATTAATTTATGCCCTCATTGTATTAATTTATGCCCTCATTAGTGATGTAGAACTGTGCATCTTTACTTTTTTTTCTTTAACTTTTTATTGTGTTTTGGGTGAAAGCTAATTAGTTTTCCCAGTTAATTGGGAAGACAATTCCTACATATTATTCCCTTACCTTGGTTGCTGTCCATGCAATGTGTCAGCATCCCACCTGTTTGTTCTCTGGGTTCCCCATTTCTATTCTTCTGGTTTCCCTAGCCCTCCCCATCTTCTCTAATTTGGTTTTGAGCAAATGTTGCCCTTTTAGTCTCATAGTTGATTGTTATGAGGAGCACATTCTTCACAGGTGTTGTTTGTTTCATAGACTCTCTTACTATTTGGCTGAAATGTGGCCACCTGGAGTGTCTTCCGGGTCAAGTTAGAAGGTTTTCTCAAGGCAATAATCTCAGGGTGTTCCTTTAGTCTATTTCAGACCAGTAAATCTGGTCTTTTGCTTTTTTTTTTTTTTTTTTTTTGTACTTTATCATTTGTTGTATGTATCTTTGAACCTATTCTAACCAGACCTTCTATTGTGATCTTGAGTAGAGTGGTTGGTAGTGGTAGATGGGTACCATCTAGTTCTAGGCTCAGGTTTGGGGAGGCTCCTTTGGACTAACTGCTTCCTTGAGGTTTAATTTTTCTTCATTCTGTGCTCCAGGTGGGAGAGATCAATAGTTGCTTCTTAGATGACCTCTTGAAAGCTTTTAAGACCCCAGATGCTACTCACCAGAGTAGGATATTAAACACTAACTCACCAGATTAGGATATGGAACGTTGTCTTTAAGAACTGTGTGTTTTTGTTTTTTAAGTTTTTCTTGTGAATTGAGTGATAGTTTACATGAGAGAACATCAGTTTTACATTAATTGTTTCATTACAATGTTTACAATCTCCTCTATGCATCATTGTGCAACAGTATTTGCTTCTATTCCCTCTGTTGTTGTTGTTGTTGTTGTTGTTGTTTTGGGGGAGGGGGAGAATGTAAGAACTGTGTTTTGCAAGTTGACCTAGATGTCCTCTCAGGTGATGGTTTTGATTTCCCATTGTCTGTATAAAATCTGTTTTTTCAGTTCTGATGTCTAAGTATTTTCTGTGACTCAGTGTTCTGTTTATATATGAGTATGTCTGCAGAATTTGCAAATGTATATATAGAAATATCCACAATTCTATAGGTTGTGGCGCTGTAGGATCAGCACTGAACTGGGAACCACAAGGTGTCAAGTTCAAATCCACCAACTACTCCTCAGAAACCTTATACAGGATCGCTATGAGTCAGAACTGACTTGATGGCACTTAGCAACAACTATATAACTATATAGGAGTTCTGGTGTGGTGTTGTAGGATAAGCACTGGGCTGCTAACCACAAGGTCAATGGTTCAAACCTATCAGCTGCTCCTTAGAAACCCTGTACAGGGTCACTATGACTCTGCGAAACCAACTCTACAGCACTTAACAACAACAACATACCTATATATGTATGCAGGTGTACTCCTGTAAGACCTACCTTACAAATTTAGCATACATATTTACTGTTGCTAAGAGCCATCAAGTGCTCCAATTCACAGCAACCCTATATAGGGGGTTTCCAAGAGTGTGGGCTTGAACTGCCAGCCTTGAGGTTAGCAGTCCAGTACTTGTGTTACTCACAAATGATTGTGAGGTATTACTGCTGGTATAAGATTGAATGTGTTCTAGCATTCACTGTTGTTAAGTGCTGTAGAGTTGGTTCTGACTCATAGTGACCATGTATAGGGTTTCCGAGGAACAGCTGGTGAATTTGGATCGTCAACCTTGTGGTTAAACCCAACCTTGTAGTCCAGTGCTTATCCTACAGTGCCACACCAGCATTCACGGTGGTGGTGTGCTGCATAGTCAGTTCCAATTGATAATAATCCTGTATAGGGTTTCCAAGGCTGAAAATCTTAACAGGAGCAGAAAGCCTGGTATTTCTGAAGAACACTGGTAGTTTTAAGCCGCAAGGTTAGCAGCTTGACTTGTAAGCACTGCACCATCAGAGCTCCTTAGCATTCCCTGTTGTTCTTTATTCTTGCATACCTCTCAGTATCTTGGTTACATTGTGCTGACCCTCTCTTATTATATATTGCCTTTCCTTTTCCTTACACTTTTACCAATCGACACGTTACTCTACTTCTGGTCTTTTCATTTTGTTAAGTATCATGCCATACCAATTGTATTTTTCTTATTATGTGAATTGAACATCTTCTAGTATGCTCAGAGCCATTTCCTCTTCTAGAAAGTATGTATTCATATTCTTAACCCACTTTTCTATTGGGTTGTTGACCTTTAATTTATTATACAAAAACTTATTTTTAGTTGATTCTATTTAACCCCTTCTTTTAGTATGTAATCATTTCAATTAAGATGTAGACTTTTTCTATCATCCCAGAACGTTTCAATGTGTTCAACCTCTGCTTACCTTGAGGCAACTGTTGCTCGGATTTCTATCACCATAGTTTAACTTGAGCTGTTTTAGAGTTTCATATAAATGGATTTGTACAGTATGGAATGTTTTACGTCTGGCTTATTCACTCAGCATGTTTCTGGGATTCATCTATTGCACAGTCAGTTGTTCTGGCTTTTTATTGGTGAGTAGCATTCCATGATTATGCCTCCATTTGTTTATTTTCTTATTGATGAACATATGGGTTGTTGTTAGCTTTCAGGGAAAAAGTTGTTGTGAACGTTCTTGCATAAGTATTTTTTCTATTGTTAATACTTATCATTCTAACTTCTCTAGGGTTAATGCTGGAGTCCTGGAGTGGCGTGGTACTAGACTGCAATATTGGTTTGAACTGCAAGGTCAGCGGTTCAAATTCACCAGCCACTCCTTGGAAACCCTATACAGGATCGCTGTGAGTTGGAACCGACTCAGTGGCTCTTAACAACAACAGGGCTAATGCTTATCTTTTTCTTTCTTTTTACTTTTGAACTTATTTGTGATCTCTGCTAGTCATTTGAACTTCCTTTGTCTGATACTTAGGAAACAAAAACAGAAAAACAAAATCCACTACCATTGAATTGATTCTGACTCATACACTGACTCATAGAGTTTCCAAGACTTCATTTTTATGGGAGCAGTCAGCCTCATCTTTCTTCCTCGGATACAGCTTTTTGCTTAAAAAAGGCGGCTTAATATTTTCATGTCAGTGACGTTTTCTCTCAGAATATGAAAGTGATAGTTTAAAGCACCCAGTTTCCGTGTCATTGAGTTGATTGAGGCCTTTAGGTTTTGTGTTATTATAGTGATTTTACTTTGATTTTGTGTTAAGCTCCCTGCTTCCAGCCCAACATCTAATCCACAGCGCCATGAGGGTGCCTTAAAAATCTTCATTAAATATTTTTTAGTGAATTAGAGATGAATTTGAACCTTGATTGCCATCAGAAAACCTCAATTCTAGTCCCCATATTGTCTCTAATCAATAGTATGGTCTTAAACAAGTCACAAGATCTCTGGATATCAGATTTCCTTTTGTAAGTGAAGGAATTGGGCTGTCTCAAAGACTTTTCTTCTAGCCTTAATATTCTAAGTGGAAAGAAAGAATGGAAGTTGTGATATGGGTGAAGAATGGGCTGAAAATATTGAAATAAACATCCAATAGGAGCGCGCTATAGAATAATTTGTTACTTTCCAGCATCCTTTCCTTTTAAAAAAAATAATTGTGTTTAAGGTGAAAGTTTACACAGCATATTAGGTTCCCATTTAACAATTTCTACACAAATTACTCTGCAAAGGCATTAGACTATGGACTAACAGAAGAACAAACAAATCTGTCTTGGAAGAGGTACAGCCAGAATATGCCTTAGAAGTATTTCATATACTTTGGAGATGTCAGGAGGGACCAGTCTCTGGAAAACGACATGCTTGGTAAAGTGGAAGGTCAATGAAAAAGAGGAAGCTCCTCAACGAGATTTACATAGTGCCTGCAACAATGAGCTCAAATATAGACCTGGCTGAGGGTGGTGCTGGACCAAACAGTGTTTTATTTTGTTGTTCATGGGTTGCTATGAGTCGGAACAAACTCCACAGTACCTAATGATAACACCACCACACTAATTACTCTGTGATTTTGGTTACCTTTTTTCACAGTGGTACATAATACAAACACCAGGGGTCAGTGTAGATCACAAGATCAAGACATCACAAGGTTCTGCCCCTTTATCCTCTTCTCTTTATGTTACAGTAATTTCTGACCATGTGATCTCCCATTGTTGTTGTTGCTAAGTGCCTTACAGTCTATTCCAACTTATAGCAACCTTGTATAGGGTTTCCAAGTAGCGGCAGGTAAATTTGAACCACCAGCCTTGTCGTTCAAATCACCCTTGAGGTCCAGTGCTTTATCCTACAGTGCCATACACCAGGACTCCTATAGGTGATTTTTTTTTTTTTTTAATTGAATAAATGTTTGCAGAACAGATCATCAGTTTTACATTCAACAAATCATACATTTCATTTCAGTTTGATTGCAATCCCTTCCATGTACTATCAGTTAACAGTGTTTAACTCTATTTACTTTATCTCTTGTACTTCTCCCTGTGTCTTCTACTATCTTCATCTTCCCTGTAGATGGTTTTTTAAAGGCGCTTATTACTCATAGGTGATGCTCTCTATTTTATGAGCCAATCCGTTGTTTAGCAAAAGGTGACCGCAAGGGATGATTCTGATTTAAGGTTTAAAAATATTTCAGAGCAGTTGTCTCAAGATTGGTCTAGGAAGTTGGAACTTTTTAACAATTTGAGTTCTGTTTGATACTTTTTTCCTATTGTGACCCTGATCAAGTGGTAGCTGGACACCACCTAGCTCGGGTCTCAATGTAGAAGAGGCCATGTATGGTTTGTGTAGACTATTAGTTCTATAGACTGCTTTCTTTTTCCCTTCTATGGTGTTGTGAATTACTTAAGATGACCCTTGTAGCCATAATAGTTGACTCTGACTCCCCATGACCTGATGTGTGTCAGAGTAGAACTGTGCTCCAGAGGGTTTTCATTGACGGATTATTCAGAAGTAGATTGCCAGGGCTGTCTTCTAAAGTGCTTCTGGTTCTTTGTGACCATCATACAATGATTGGGTAAGATGATGTAAATATGGTGCTTGTGGCCCACCAAGGGGATCAGACAACTTGCAATGAGCAAATGAAATGTGTAGAACCCTGTGAGGGTTGGGCCATGCAAATGAAGTATTATTGTTGTTGTTATGTGCCGTAGAGTCAGTTCCGACTCATAGCGACCCTGTGCAGGGTTTCTGAGGCTGTTAGTCTTTACGGGAGCAGAAAGCCTCATGTTTCTCCCTTGGAACAGCTGGTAGTTTTGAAATGCTGACCTTGTGGTTCACAGCCCGATTCGTAACCACTACGCTACCAGAGCTCCTTAAGTGTATGGAACCCTAATGAGGGGATTAGCCAGTTTTTCCATCCTGATTTGTTTAAAAGGGAGTCCTGGTGTGGTGTTGTAAGATAAAGCACTGGACTTCAAGGTCATCTAAACCACAAGGTTGGTGGTTCAAACTCACCAGCCATTCCTTGGAAGCTGTAAACAGGGTTATTAATGAGTTGCAACCAACTTGACAGCACGTAACAACAACAGTGCTTAAAAGAGAGCTAATTCCAGGGCAGAAGTGGACACTATTACCACAAGGAAAGAAGAGCCGGGAGTGGAGCATGTCCTTTGGGCCTGGGGACTCTTAGACTCAGGAGACAGTGGGTTACAATACTGCTGACGGTAAGAAGTTGTGACAAGTGTCATAGAGAACAGATAAGAACAGAACCAGGAGACAGCAGCCAGTGGAGTGAGAACTTCAGATCTGAGTGAAGTAAGATGCGGCCAGACATTTGTTGATGGACATAGCTTTACTGACCCACAGAGGTAGAGAGCTCTGTGCCTTGGGCTGAGGCTTATTGGTAGAATGGGATGCCTTTAGGCACTTACTGGTAGAGTTAAAGAGTTTTATAACACTTCTGTAGGGCAGAAATGGCACTGGCCCAAGAAGCCAGAGTGGCCAAGGGCCAGGGAGAAGCGTTCCTGTGTCAATGACCAAGAAACTGTTTGACCTAAGAACTGTATCCTGATTTGTTTCTGAATTTGATTGTAGCCTGTTACATTGCTAATAAGCTCCATGACCCTAAATATGGTTTGCGAGTTTTGTGTGACAGGTGCAATGAATTACTGAACCCAGTAGAGAAGTAGAAAGTGAAGTGAGAGGGATGGCTGATAGCAGAATTGGTAAAGTAGTTGGAGAAAGGTGGGATGTCTGACCTCTGTTTCATAGAAATTGAGGTGATGCTGGTGGTGATTCTCTCTCCCCTTCGTGAAGTTAAAGTCAGATGCCCACCACACCATTTTTACACCTTCTTTCTTTTTTGTTCTGCATGAGTAGAGACCAACAGATGTATCTTAGATGGCCACATTGACACTATTCCTCATATTAGGATCTAGAGCATACACTTTATGAACTAGGTTATGGCTATTGATTGAGTTGACCCATGAGACTATGGTCTTAATAAGTCTTCAAACCCCAAAAGCCAATTTCTCAAAGGGCTTGGTTATATTGAAAAAGTATTTATAACTGTGTTCCCTATGCAGTTTATGTTGTTGTTGAAAGTGTCAAGTCAATTCTGACCCACAGTGACCCTGTACAGGGTTTCTGAGGAGCAGCTGCAGTTTATATATGTATATAATTGTGACTGTATTCACAAATTTGTTAGGGAGCTTCGAAAATTCCTGTATCTTTTAATTCCATTTTCCACAAACCTTCTTAAGTTCACATACAGGTTTGACAGAATGTTTTTACATATGTATTTACCTATGCCACAAATAATTCATGAATATAATAGAGCACACAAGGGACAAAGTTATGAAAACTATTTTTGCCATAATCAAACACCTTGAGGGAGGCCTGGGATCTCAGGACCATAGTTTTGGGACACAAAGATCAACTGTCATAACATAGTCCACAAAGACAATGTTCTAAATCCTACTTTGGTCGGTAGTGATTGGTGTCGTAATAGCTTGTGAGCCATCTTCTAAGATATGCCTGTTGGCCTCTCCCCACCAAAGACAAAGCAAAGAAAATCAAAGGTGCATAGAAACAATTAGTCCAGTGGACTAGTGGACCTCATGAACATCAGCTTCCACAACCCTGAGACCAGAAGAATTAGATGGTATTTGGTTACCACTACCAACCTATGTGAAAGGATCACATTAGGATGTTCCTAGATAGACTGGGAGGAGAATGTGGAACACAATTCAAAATCATAAAAAGACCAGGTTTACTAGTTGAATGCAGTCTGATAGAACACTCGAGACTATGGCCCTTAGTCACCTGTTAGTTCTGGAATTGATCTTACCACTGTGACTCTTTTCAGTCAAACAATAGATACATTTATAAGGTAAGCAATAATAGTGGGGAGATAAGCAATCCTTAGAATAATCAGCCATTTAAGATGGAAAGAGTAGCATTTGCCTAAGGACACAGTTGAGAAGACTGGAAGGGTTAAGAAACAAGACAGAGAAAATGGGCTAAGGGCTGTAACATTGTGGGATTGCAATCAGCATGAAACAAAATGTGTATGAACTGTTGATCTGCTCTGTAAACCTTCACTCAATTCACAATAAGTTTAAAAAAAAAAAAAAGCCTTAATAAAGCAATTAACTTTTGCAGCCTAAATGAATAGCAAAAGGTGTGAGCTGTGCAACATTTTCTTGGTCTTTAAATAAGATGTTCACGTAATAATGAACTGTTGTAGGTAAGTGCTGTTGAGTCGGTTCCAACTCATAGCGACCCTGTATTAGGTTTCTGAGGAGCTGCCGGTGGGTTTGAACTGCCGGCCTTGCATGTCAAACAGACCTTGTGGTCCCATGCTTTATCCTACGGCACCACAACAGGAATCCTGTTCAGACTCATAGCAGCCCTGTATAGGTTTTCCAAGGAGTGGCTGGTGGGTTTGAACTGCTGACCTTTCGGTTAGCAGTAAGTACAGTGCTCATCCTACAGCACCACACCAGAGTTATTATAGTTTTAATTGAGACAAAAAATAAAAAACATAATATTTTTCACATGTATGATTCAGTGAGGCGTTAATTTGAAAGTCAAGTTTAGTATCTCACTAGTGTTTTTCTGTGTCTCTCCTCAGATTTGGATCATACAGCTGATGTCCAGTGAGTATAGCTGGAATTTGTTCATTCAATACCATGTGATTAAAGAAGAAGGCTTAATGTTTTCCTTTCCTTGGCATTTCTCTGCCTATCTTGGTTCTTTCAGAAGATGAAAGTGATCGTTTAAAGATACGCAGTTTCAGTATCATTGAGGCCTTTAGTTCTTCTGTTTTCATAGTGATTTTATTTTGATTTTGCTGTCAAGTTTCCAGCTTCCAGTGGATGACAAAGTGAATGTGTTTCTTTAGGTTACATGCGTGGGGCTCTACTTTGGAGGAAGCGTTTGAGCAGTGTGCAATGGCCATGTTTGGTTATATGACAGATACTGGGACTGTTGAGCCCCTTCATACAGTAGAAGTAGAAACCCAAGGTAAGTGATTGATTCACAGGCAGAAATTGTTATAAAAATGTGTAGTGTTCTAAATAATTAGAGTGTAATTCCAGACTTTCACAGTAAGAATAAAGTTGATTTTGAACCTGTACTTCCTCTTTTAATTAGTGATTCATTATACATTTAAATGCAGATTAATTTTTAGAAACCAAAATTACTAAATGTACTGTTTTGGTTCTTTTTGATACTGTATAGGAGATGACTTACAATCTCTTCTGTTTCACTTTTTGGATGAGTGGCTTTATAAGTTCAGTGCTGATGAGTTCTTCATACCCCGGGTAAGCAAGGGTTTTTCTTTCTTAGCAAATGAATTCTTAGTTCAGGTTTTAAAATAGAGCACAGGATGCAAGACCAATCCATACAGATATGTAAAATGATACTGATTTGCATAAATTATACTGACTGTAGGTACTTCTAGGTTATCCTGCATTTGCCATTTCTGTGTGTATTTTGTGTTTAGATATATACTTGTTACTGTAGGACTGAGTGATCAGAAGGCACCTACCATGTAGACAGACAGTATGCCCCTGCTAACCCTAAGGGACCAAAACCCACCCCAGTGCTTTAGTGACCCTGTGGGACAGAGTAGAACTGCCTGGTGTGGTGCTGTAGGGTAAGCACTGGACTACAGATTTGGTATGAAGTGCAAGGTCAGTGATTCAAACTCACCAGCCGCTCCTTGGAAACCCTGTACAAGGTCGCTATGAGTCACCACCGGCTCGATGGCACTTAAGAGCAGCAACAATCTTTACAGACATCCCTGCTATGGCACTATAAGATAAATACCAACTGCTAACCCAATGGTTAAGGAGCTCTGGTAGCATAGTTGTTACGAATCGGGCTGCGAACCGCACGGTCAGCAGTTCAAAACTACCAGCTGTTCCGCGGGAGAAAGATGAGGCGTTCTGCTCCCGTAAAGCTTAATAGCCTCGGAAACCCTGTGCAGGGTCGCAATGAGTCGGAACTGACTCCACGGCACACAACAACAACAACAACCCAATGGTTGGTGGTTCAAACTCACCACGTGCTCCTTGGAAACCCTATATTGGGTCTCTATGAGTTGCGACTGTCTCAACAGTCTTTACAGGGGTGACTGCCACACCTTTCTTCCATAGAATGGTAGGTAGGTTTGAAATCTAGATCTTTTGTTATGTTAAACATTTGAGATTTAACAGTTCTGCCAAGTTAGCACAGTTTAAACAATTGGTGCTTTTAGTTTTCCTTGAAGTGAAGAAAGGTAAAACCATGTGGGACTTCCTTGCTGTCAGCCTTCAGAAGGGGGCTCCTCTCCAACAACATTTCTATCTAACATAGATGGCACTCACTGCTTCCATAATTCCTCTCATCTTTCCCTTACCAGCTTCACCACGTATACTCTACCAATTGCATCATATGATGTGCCCACACTATTATGTGAATATAATGTGTCAGTCACATAAGACTACAAGTGATTAAAATCCTATATTGTTTTTCTCTACCAATTATCTTGGGAGTGTGATGGCTCCATATGATAAGCACTGAATTGTGCGCCACAAGGTTGGCAGTTCAAGCCCACTATATACTGTGTGGGAGAAAAGTGAGGCTTTCTGCTTCAAAAAGATTCACAGCATCGGGAACCCTGGACAGGGTCGCTATGAGTTGTAAACGAACAACAATAAACATGTTATCTTTTTTTTTTTTTTTTTAAGTTTCTATTGTAGATTAAGTGATAGTTTACATGGGAGAACATTAGCTTTACATTCAACCTGTCGTATTTTGTTTCATTGCAATGACTGTAATCCCCTCCATGCATCATCAAAACAACCAAAGAGCACATCCCGCAAGCCTGCCCCCCGGCCGTCAGCTCACAGACCCTCTCCCTCCCTGAGTCCAGAGTCCTCAGCTGCTCCATCTCTCCACGTCATCATCTCTGCCTCCATCTCTGGCGTCATTGCTTCTCTGGGTAGGGTCCCGCACTCTGCTCTTCTCCCTTGATGGTCCCAGGGACCTCCGCTCCTGGACTGCAAAATCAACTGCTCCCTCCCTTTTGTTGCAAAGCATCTGTCTTTACATTTCCAACCCTCATAGTCAGTCCTGATAGCAATTATTCTTTATTGTACAAGAGTCTTAATCCCCATCTCCTTTCATCAGCCCTGTCCAGACAAAGGAGATTCTACCTTTCCCCGCACCCTGTGGAACTAGGCTTCATCTTGAAAGCTTGTAAGCCAGTCACTTCTTGCCTTTGTAGCCCCCCCCCCCACATTTTGCATAGCCAATGTCTTAGTTGTCCATCCCTGTCAACACTGTATACCGAGGAGGTGAAACATGTATCTTGTAACAGAAGTTCTTTACTCATGTAAAATGTAACATAAGCCATATATCTTAGAAGGATATTTCGTTTGTGCGACAGTATGTGGCATCAACCATTCTTTCCACAATCCTCTCTGCTCCTCAGTTGGGTTTGATAATCTATTGCAATGGCCACACAGAATTCAGATACTATACTCAGGGATAAGGGATTTATCAGGTTATAATTCAGCATCAGAAATACTCAGAGCACAGTTTTTCCAGTCAACTACTGATAAATGCCTATAGAACACACCACTCTGCCATAAGTCTCATCCTGAAGGTACTCAGCTTCAGCTCTGTGGGTCAGCAAATCTACCTCCCCCACCTAAGTGCTTGGAGTCACCCCATTCTACAAGCAAGCACCCTATGCAAAGTCACTCAATTTTACTTGCTCAGTGGACTGGGAAGCCCACTGCTCTATCTTGTGCTCTGGTTATTGGTTCTGCTGCTGCCGTTCCGCTGTTATTCCTGTTTTGCAACAGCTTTCTGTCCCTGGTTCAAGGAGGTTCAGTGTGCAGGGATCTTGGTGTCCAAAGAATGCATTCCTCTCCTGGCTCTTTGATGGTAGTGAGGTTCCCCCCTTCTGCTTCTGAGATGACTCATTATAAACCCATGCTAGAGTTCCAAGTTTCCAGAATTAAAATTAACTTTGCTAGCATTCACAGCTGAATCATGTCATCCTATCATATCTTCTCACATGTTCTCTTACCTAGACCCAGCAGGACAGAAATGTTTGGTGGGAGTTACAGGCTGTGGCTAGAAGAGACATTAGATAACTTATGACACCACAGTTTGTTATGGAATCTTAGTTGACATTTTCATTTTCCTTGAGAAAAGTAGCATACTGTTATTTTCTAGAAAAGGTGACAATCTAGACATGTTATAGTAGATAGTCTGGAATGAAAATTTTAAAAAAGGTTTTTTTCTTCTTTAGGAAGTGAAAGTACTCAATATAGATCAAAGAAATTTCACATTACGGTCGATTGGGTAAGTTTTGAACCCTTTTGAGTGTCAACTGTCATGAAAGATGTTAGTTATGTTTTTCATTGGACCAAGTGGCTAGGAAGGCAATAAGAGCTCCAGTTTTCTAGTAGGGCTTTTCAGGTTAAGCTTTATGGTCTAGGGTCTGGTCTTCCGCTTTAGAGAACCAGTAACTTGTCAGAACAAAGTTGACTGGTTTTTAAACCTGACTTCCCATTTGTTGTTTTTTTAGCAAAATAATTGCTGTAAAGCTAGCATTCTTTCTGCCCAGGTGAGTGGAGGGGAAAACACTGACATATCCTCATTTCTGTGCTTCTATGTGGATCAGTCAAATCAATTTTCTTCTGACACCAACTGTGAGGATGTAACAAGTCCCCGCTTTCACTTCCCTTCAGTTCTGACACCAGCTGCACGTGCAGCATTTCTTTTTCTGACCCTAACCACCCAGAGCTAGGTCAGATTGAACAAGTTAAAAGGATATGGTCCTTTGAACTGCCAAATCTACTACCCAAGGCCTCAGATGCCAGCCTTAACCTTGGTAAACGTCATGACACCTATACTCCTGACTTGCTGGCCTTAAGTTTAGTCCACTGCACCCCAGTTAAAGCTCTGGACATTGAATCTGCAAGAGCTTCCTGGTTGGGAAAAAACATCAACTCCCTTGAGAGAGTGACACACCCTCTTTGGGTCACAGAAGTTCGGATTAGAATTTCACTGAATGACTCACAGAAGGCCCTATACTATACTAAGATTGTTGTTAAGTGCCGTTGAGTCAGTTTTGACTCATAGGGGCCCTGTATAGGGTTTCCAAGGCTGTAAATCTTTGGGGGAGCAGAAAGCCTTATCTTTCTCCCGTGGAGTAGTTGATGGGCTTGAACCACCGACATTGTGGTTTGCAGTCCAGTACTTATCTTATGGAGTCACCTTGCTCCCATACTTACAATTACAGCTTTATTATAAAGGATACAAATCAAGGTCAGTATGAAGAAGAGACATGCCGGGTAAATTCTGGGATGTTTTCCACCTTGGAGCTTCTGTGTCCCAAAGAAGGTGTTTCACCCGATAGAAAGAATAGATATTTTCCCCAAACAAGAGAGTTCTTTGCAGACTCAGTGTCCAGAGCTTTATTGGTGGGGGTGGGGGTGTTAAGGGACAGGTGTCTCACTATATAATACAAGCACCAGAGGTCAGTGGAGATCACAAGGTCAAGAGATCATAAGGTCAGGGTATCAGGTGGTGGTATGTTTCTGGTCTGCTCAGCCCCCACCCCAGTATCATCTCATATCAACTATTAGGTATGGTCTGAACACCTATAGAGAATGAAGACACCTTAATTATTCTGGAAATTGCAAGGATTAAGAATTTATCTCAGGAATCAAGGTCTAACATCAGATTATTTTTGGTAAAACATCTTTATTTCACACTTCATTCAAACAATACTTTTTCTTCGAGTTTGCAAAACAGTTGATTAGATCAATTTGGTTTGACTTGGTGTTTCCCAAGTTTCCTCAATTATTTAGTTGTCTGTAAGGTTTATGTTTTTATATAGCTCATCTTGTCTACTTTATGTTGAATTTTAATATTAGCTTCTTTCCGTGTAGTGAGGTGTTTTATTATTCTCCACCCCATTTTTTCTAAGTAAGGAAACAGGTTTGTCCAAGGGTAGCAAGCTCGTAAGTGATTGAAGGAAACTAAAATTTTTTATTCCTTTTATTGTGAAATTCAGCCACAGTGCTGAGGAGAGAGACTATGCATGTATAAATTTTGAGAGTATACCTTTCTATTTATAGAATGTGAACATTTTTGGAAAAGATAAAATGCAGTTTTGTTTTATTTTCTTTACATTGAGGTGCAATCTTTATTGAAGGTTTATTTGCTTAGCATACAGATTGAACAAGTATTTAAAATCATTCCATATCCTCTTGTTCTGTTCACAGGACTGCTTCTTGGTCTGTGTACATGTTCTTCATGAGCACAATAAAGTGTTCTGGAAAACCTATTCTGTACAATGTTTTCTATAGCTTGTCATCATCCACACAATTAAAAACTTTTACATAGTGAACAAAGCACAAGTAAACATCAGACCTCTGGGAGGTATCATTTAATTAGTTCTGTCACTAGCTTGGTGTGGCATGTAGTATAAGCATTGGACTGCTAACCACAGAGTTAGTGATTCAAACCCATCAGCTGCTCCTTGGAAACCCTATCCAGGGTCACTATAAGAACTGACTTTTTGGTACTAAACAACAACATTAGTAGTCTTAAGATTGGCAGCTCGAACCCACCCAGAGGTACTTCTGAAGACAGGCCAGCAGTCTGTTTCTGAAAGGTCACAGCCTTGAAAAAGGCTACAGTCCCAAGAGACTTGCACCACTATTCGCAATAGCCGAAAGGTTGAGACAATCTAAATACCTGTGAGCAGGTGAATAGATTAACAAAATGTGGTACATATAGTGGAATACTATGCAACTAGTAAGAGAAAAGTCTTGATACATTGTATAGTAAGGATGGAGCTTGAAGATACTATGCTGAGTGAAAGAAGTGAATAGCAAAAAGACAAATACTGTATAAACTTTGCTTATATTAAAAGATAAGAAAAGGCAAACGTAGAGAACAAAGTTTATTACTGGTTATTGGGCAGGAGAGAGGGAGAAAAAAGAGATTGCTTATGGAGTACTGAGTTGTGGGAAAATCACAGAATAGTTGCTGAGGCTAATTATGTACAATTCATTACCTCATAGGATTTCTTGATTTGGAGGCTTATGGTCATGATTTCAGGGACAGTCCAATTAATTGGCCTTAATAATGTATTTAAGGAGCTCTGGTAGCATAGTGGTTATGAATTGGGCTGCGAACTACAAGGTCAGCAGTTCAAAACTACCAGCTGCTTTGTGGGAGAAAGATGAGGCGTTCTGCTCCTATAAAGATTTACAGCCTCGGAAACCCTGTTCATGGTCGCTATGGGTCGGAACCGACTCAACGGCACTTTAACAACAACAACAATAATGTGTTTAGTGCTTCTGTTCTACCTCCTAATTTGTTGTGTAGTGCCTGGAATCTTAAAAGCTTTCAAGAATCCATCCAGAGCACAACAGTTGGTTTCTCTTTACAGAGGAAGAAGGAGAATCAGGAATAGGAAGAGGATATGAAATGTGTAACAAATTACCTCCAGGAACAACTGCCTCTTTTGCCATGAGACCAAAAGAATTGCTACTGTTACTGAACATTTTGATCAAAGATTCTATAGAAGAATCATGATCAAAATGGAGAAAATACAGGACAGAATTTTAAGTTCTAATGGACTCCAGTCTTTTTGGAGCCATGGAGCTTTCCTGAACTAAAACTATTGCCCTGGGATCATCTTAAACTCAAATCAGAAATGTTCTCTGAAGTTTTCTTAAAACCAAACTATAGTTTGAGTGATAAAAATGTCTACTTTGAGCATTATACTCTTTTAAGAACTCTCTGTATAGGATCAAATTGACCACAGCAATTTCAAAGATTAGGTAGAGGGCTTTAACTTTATGCTAATGGGGGGGGGCAGCTCAGACACGAGGGTGAGAATGGCTGCACAACTTGAAGAATGTCATCATGTCACTGACTTGTACGAGGTAAAACTTGAATTAGACTGTTTTGTTGTGCATTTTGCCTTGTATTTTCTTATTTTGGAAATAAATATTTAAAATAAGAAAATTCAAGCAAAGCCAAATAAATTTGAAAAGAAAAACCTTTGGGGTCACTATGAATCAGAATCCACTTGGCAGTAGGGGTGGGCAGTGATCACTCTACTGCAAATGGCTGATGAACATCATCTCTCAACAGGTGTATCTGCTAGCAAAGCAAAGTGATATTTATAGCCTCCCTACCCTCTCCCATAAGGAGCTCTGGTAGCTTAGTGGTTACGAATTGGGCTGCAAACCACAAGGTCAGCAGTTCGAAACTACCAGCTGTTCCACAGGAGAAAGATGAGGCTTTCTGCTCCCGTAAAGATTTACAGCCTCAGAAACCCTGTACAGGGTCACTATGGGTCGGAACTGACTCCATGGCCCATAACAACAACAACCCTGTCCCATGCATTTTGGCTTTCTAATATCGTAACCAACTTTATATATAAGGCTTATTTTAAAATAGGAAAAATGTTAAATCTTGGAAATCTTAATTATGTTTTCATTTTCTTAAGATGGGGAGAAGAATTTTCATTGTCCAAGCACCCTCAGGTATGTTCTTAAAAATCTAGCTTTAAAAAGCATTTTGTATTAGCCTATTATAAGCAGCTCTGGTAGCGTAGTGGTTATGAATCGGGCTGCAAACCTCAAGGTCAGCAGTTCAGAACTACCAGCTGTTCCACGGGAGAAAGATGAGGCTTTCTGCTCCCATAAAGATTTACTGCCTTGGAAACCCTGTACAGGATCGCTGTGAGTCGGAACTGACTCCACGGCATATAACAATTACGAGATCAATATATTTGACAATGAACTTCAACTATAATAAAATGGAACAATGAGAATGATCATTTTTTTTCTCAGACTTCGCTGACCTGTCTGACTATGTTATAGTAGATACTTCATTTGTCCACATTTGATATGGTTGATTAGGAGTCAGCATTTGGCTTCTAGGGTCAGGTTTGTTCTAGATTGTTGTATGACTTAAATGTTACTTTTGGGCTTTGGTTTCTTCCTTTATAAGATTGTTGAACTTGTTCTCTGTCTGCAAAGTATTTTCTGTTTCCTGTGGTTCTCTAGATTCTGTATTTGTCAGCCTGTATGGCCTGACTCTACAAACAGTCAGATCAGTTGGGGCAGAGATTGTCAGTTTTTTTCTGTAAAGGGCCAAGTAATAAGTATGAGGGTAAGTCAAAAAGTATTGCTCCTAGGGTTCCAGTTCATACATACATGGGTTTATTCCAAACAAAGCTTGGTATTTAAACATGTCTCTGTGATCAGTGGATGACAGCAGACAAGCTCTATCAGTGATGTCCTTAGTCTTGTTAGGGTGCCTCCCTAACAGTGATTTCTGATGGGAGAGCATCTGCTGGGTAAGTGAAACTCTAGGCACAGAGGTCAGCTTAGAAAGTCATGGTGATTGTTTTTTGGAGTTCCACCAAAAAAACAATCTTGATCAATTTTCTTGAAGGACACAGGGTGATCATGGGGCTTATTATGAAGTTTTAAGAAAATAGAAAACTGCACTGGTGATAAAGAGGCCAGGAAAGTTGTGCCAGGAATTTTTTCCCATCACGACATTGCACCTGCTCATTCTTCAAGGGTAGCAAGGGATAATCTATGTGAATTTATTGAGAAATCTTATCCCATTCACCATACAGCTGTGATATTTATTGCTTTACAATTTGTTTTTGCTCCTGAAATTCAAAGAACATTTGAAAGGAATACAATTTGAGGCCCCTGAGGTTGCCAAAAAAGTTGCCAAAACTACCATTTTGATGTGTAATAGAGGAGTGCAGAATTCTTTGGAGAAGGATTATAGAAATGGAAACACTGCCTTCAGACATGTATAGACCAAGATGGAAGATAATGTTGAGAAGCAATAGCTTTACATTTTCATTTAATTAGTGTCTATGATTTTGTTACTTCTTTAAAAAAAAAAATTTTTTTTTTTCATTTATTGGGTAAAGATTTACAGAGCAAATTGGTTTTCTGTTCAACAATTCATACACATTTTGTTTCCTGTGATTTATTACAGTCCCCATAGTATAACATCACTTGTCCCACCTTCTCTCTTTATTTACTGTTCTCATTCCGCCTCCTTTTCTAACTCTCCTGAACTTTGTCCTTGGGTAAATGCTGCCCTTTTGATCTCAAATGGTTGATTAGTGTAAGGAATGCCTAATTCCCTGGTGTTAATGTTTTCCCTATAGACTTGTCTACTGTATGTCTGAAAGGTTGAGCCATTGAGGTTAATTCAGTTCTAGACCTTAAGGATGCCTAAGGAACCATTGTCTTGGGTTCCACCAATCTATCTAACCAGTAAGCTTGGTCTTTTGGGGGGTTTTGTAGTAGAACTTTTGACTTACCCTTGTATTTGAAGCATTGTGGACCAAAAGCAATGGGAGAGGTACTTAGTACTCAGTTTGCTGTTGTAGTGCTAAAGCAGTCGTAGACAGCATATAAATAAATGGATGTGGCTGGACTCCAGTCAAACTTATGTGGACATTGATAATTGAATTTAATACAATTTTTAAATGCCACTTAATAGTCTTTTTTTATGTTCAACCATTTAAAAATGTGAAAAACATTCTTAACCTGCAAGGCCCTACAAAAATAGCAGGCCGGATTTTACTCGTAGACTGTAGTTTGCCAATTCTTGTGTTTAGGCCAAGGAGGCCCAAAATAACTGTGCCTGGGGAATCTTAAGTGTGTCCAGTAGCTGTGGTATCGCTTCTCCAGCAACAAGGTAATGAAATAAAACATGGTGATGGAGCCTCAGGGAGAGAAGTATAAAAAGAGACCAGTAAACGGGGACATGTAAATTGAAAGCAAACTGTACATTGCAAATGACACGGTGGGTCTTTCTAAGATAAACTATAGTATATTTGGGGCAGAGTCTAACATTTCAGATAGGTCAAAGAAGAAAATCATAACACATTCATTGGTGATGGTGATGTGGTTATATGCCACTGAGTCAGTTCTGACTCATGGCGACCCTGTATAGGGTTTCTGAAGCTGTAAATCTTTAGGTGAGCTGAAAAAATTTCATCTTTATCCTGAAGAGCAACTGGTAGGTTCGAACTACTGAACTAGCTGTTAGCAGCCCATTTTGTAATCTACTATGTGCTACCAGGGCTCTTTTTCTGAGGGGGAACACTGATATGAACAGCACATGTGTATGGCCTAGAGTGAATGGTAGTTTTGTTCCCAGAAGTGACTGGAAAATAATAGAATATTGTTAGTAATGTGAAATACCTGAGAACTGGCCATTGGAATAGTAAAAATATTGAAGTATGATGATTGTTTCACTTTACAATGAATACATGAAAAATAGTTTACTACTTTCTTGCCACCCCTTAAAATTCAGTGAAATACCTAAATAGCATATTTCTAAGACTTGGCCAACTTGTCAAATTTTAGACACTTTAAACTCACATTGGCCATTGGGAATATACTTAGAATACAATGCAACCAATTTAATTTCATTCACTTCTTGTGATTTTTGAAACAAGCAAATATAAGTATGATTAGAATGTTAGACAAATGTTGTATGACCTCACTTATGTGAAAAGAAGAAAAGGCAAATATATAGAGACCACAATTTATTAGTGTTACCAGAAGCAGGAGGGAGGGGAAAAGAGGAGTCAGTGATGATGGGAAAGGTGCATTGTGTAAGGGTAAGGTTGCATAGTGGATTATTGTCATTACTGCTAAATAAATTATTTTGTATGCTGTGAAAAACTGAATCGACAAACATTTTGTCAATATATAAAAAGAGCTGCTGAGGCTGCTATGTCCAGCTGAACACCTGGGCTCTGGCTCCTTGGTTTGAAGTGTAGGGTCATGGTATCATGGGACATCCCAGGTAATTGGCCCAGTAATGTGTTCAGTACTTCTGTTCTATCTCTTAGTTGTTGCTGGAGTTCATGATTCTGATCTCAGTGTCCTTTTCCCGTTTGTTTTTTTGTAACCCCAACTTTAGGGAACTGAAGTCAAGGCAATAACATACTCGGCAATGCAAGTTTATAATGAAGAGAAGCCAGAAGTTTTTGTGATCATTGACATTTAAGATACAAAGAAAAGAGACTCCCATGAAGAACCTTTTATCTGTCTTTTGGGAAGCTACCATGATTTAACTGCTACAATATCTATTGATACATGGAAACATGTGGAACAAAAAAATTAACTCCAAGTGTGATTTGAGAAATGGAAAGTCGGGGCATAGGTTTGTTCAGGGTTGCTCAAGTATTCAAACTTTAAAGACATTTTTTAGTTGGCAATTATGGTTCCTCATTTAGTCACTTTGCTGTGGCAGCAGGTGCCTCACACCCTTTACTGGAAAAGAGATCAGTGATGTAAGCAGTCCTTTGCCCTGTGGAAACCAGCTCTAGGAGCCAGAGCCTAGTGTACCAGCACTCTGGAACCTCTGTGCTCTTTCCAAATCCAGTTTGGGATTAAAATAATAATAATTTGAGAAAATGCATTCTTATGTCTAGAAGTTTGCTTTTCTTCCAAGTAGGTTACAGATCTGCTTTCTAAATGTACACTAAGAGTTTGTGTTTTATATTGTTAAAGGACAGAGCTATAACAATTGCTTTTCTTAGAAAAAAGGAGCAATTGGAAATGTCTGTAGAAAAAGCACTGATGTTTTGGCACAAACCTATTTTCCCTTAAGAAAAATGTGCTCCCTCTTATAAATGGACCCACCCTTGTAAAACATAATTATATTTTAAAGCCAATATATTTATGTAGAACAGTAAAGACAAATTTTGGTATATTTTTGTTTGTTTCTAATTTTTTAAGCTATTCATCTCTAAGTAGACAGAATCCAGGAAAGTAATTTGAATCATCTAAACTTTTAAAAGTAGATGACTTTTAAAATATGAAACTGCTTTAGTTTGATTTACAATTTTATTTTATTCTCTATCGATTGAGGAGGTATTTCTTGTGATCAAGAGTTTGCATGGTTTGCAGTTGCACAGTGGCAGTGTAGGATAAGCACTAGATTGCTACCTATTAAGTCAGTGGTTCAAACCACTTTTTAGAAACCCTGTCTGTGGTAGTGGTGACTCATAGCAACCCTGTATAGGGTTTCTGAGACTATATAGGGTTTCTCCTGTGGAACTGCTGGGTGGTTTTGAACTGCTGACTTTAAGAGTAGCAGCCCTTTCAGGGCTCCATCAGAAACCCTATACAGGGTCATTATGAGTGGGGATCAACACAAGAAACAATTGCCACTGGGTGGTGCTAGATACCAGGGATCTGCTAAATCTGAGCATTAAGAAAGAGATGGACTTTGAACTTTGAAGAGCTTTTTCTGAGCACTGAATCACTGTATTACTTTTCTCTGGTTAAAGTTAAGCACTCAGTTACTATCTGAAAGGTTGGCAATTTAAATCCACCCACAGGTACCTCAGAAGTCAGAACTGGTGGATCTGCTTCAGCGAGGTCACAGCCTCAGATTCTGTGGAGCACTTCTCTTCTATAGGCCTGGAGTCACAGTGAGTCCGAGTGGAGTCAACTCATCAGCAGCTAACAACATTTACTAAAAAGTGAAGTTAATGAGACTGGCTCAGGAGCCTGTGGTTTGAGCAACCTCACTTCAGATGTGTATGTTGTAGGATCACTGAAGTTGTTGTTAGTGCCATCGAGTCCGTTCTGACCCATAGCAACCCTGTATAGGGTTTTTGAGGAGCGGCTGGTGAGCTTGAACCACCGACTTTGCAGTTCAAACGGCTTTGTAGTCTGGTGTATTAACCCGCAGTGCCACACCAGATAGTGTTGCTTTATTGTCCGGCACACTTTGTGAATGTTAATGTTGCTCACACATCCAAGTCCTGGTATGGCGCTATAGAATCAAGCACTGGAACACAGGGTTGGTGATTCAAACTCACTAGCCAATCCTGAGAAACCCTATACAGGGTTGCTATAAGTTGGAACCTACTTGACATCACTTAACATCAACAACAAAAGAAATATCTAGAAGAGTCTTTTTGCCTTTAGTTTTGGACAGATTTCTGGGTTGAGATGGAGCTGCTTTTTATGGACCCCATTCTATATCATGGACTACTCTTCGGGTAGTTTGTGAAAATGAACAGTGGAATACCATGAGGACCATGGAAGAGCTGACTCCACAGTAACAAGAATGCTAGCATTAGAATGTATTAAAGCCAAATGGGGTATAGACTTGGATTCTGTAGCTTCTGACTAGGAAAAAAGTATGACTTAATCCTGTCTCTTACCACCGGTGTTATATAATGGGATTCAGTAAAGTCAGATATAACTGTGTAATACAAATTATATTTTGTTCATAATAAATTTATTACATTCTAATACAATTTTAGTTATTGTAAAATGTTAGTTTTAAAATAAGTCAAGATGAAGTTGCTGATAGAAGAAAAATGAATATGTTACCCTTGAGGAGGTTGGCATTCTTGATCCATCATCAGTTGTTGTTAGGTGCCATTGAGTTGGTACCATAGCTACCTTATGCACAGCAGAATGAAACACTGCCCAATCCTGGGCCAACCTCACTACTGTTGCCACACTTGAGTCCATCGATGCTGCCACTTGGCCAGTCCTTCTTGCTGGGGGTTGCCCTCTTTTTCTCTGACCCTCCACCTTACCAAACATGATATCCTTCTCCAGCGACTGGTCCCTCCTGACAGTATGTCTGAAGTATGAGAGATGAAGTTTGGCCATCTTGGCCTCCAAGGAGCACGCTGGCTGCACTTCTTCCAACACAGATCTGTTGGTTCTTTTGGCAGCCCTTGACACTTTCAATATTCTCCTCCAACACCATAACTCAAAAGCATCAATTCTCTGGTCTCAGTCACTGTCCAGCTTTTGCATGCATATGAGGTTATTGAAAATACCATGTCTTGGGTCAGGTGCACCGTAGTCCTCAAGATAACATTTTTGCTCATCAACACTTTAAAAGGTTTGTGAAACACTGAGGTGGTTGTACTGGGCTGCGACCAACCATGTCTGATACATACACCAGAGTGTGTGTCTGGGCCTAGGGAGCAATTTCTTCCCTGCAGTGGACTAAACTTTATCCTCACACAATAGCTCTATACTTATCAGACTAAACTCAGCATGTTCTTATATCCCATATGTGTGGAAAATAATCAAAACCCTACTTTTCTCTGCCCCTTATGTTCTGACACCTGGTGTCATGTGGCACTTCTTCCCCTGACTCTAACCACCTAGAGCAAGTTAAAGAACATGGTCCCCCAGGCTGCCAAGTCTACCCAGGACCTCATGCCAGCTGTGAGTTTGGATGTCCTCATGATGCCCTCACTTCTGACTTGCTGGCTACAAGTTTAGTTTCCTCCCTATCCTTTCAGATGCTTACTGTAAGGCTCCTTCACTAGTGGCATACTGGCTACAAACTTGTGGGTTCCTGTATTTGGAAACAGCAGGGCTTCCAACCACCATCATTCTGACCTGGCTCTCGCTATTCACAGAGAACTCTATACTTGCTACAATTTTATTATAGCAAAAAGGATACAAATAAAGAGACATTGGGCAAGACAGAATATCTCAATGCAGAACTTTCATGTCCCAAAAGATGTATTACCCTCCCCTGGGCATTGATGTCTTTCACCAACCAGGAAGCCCAGGGAGTTTCCATGTCCACAGGGGTTTTTAGCTATATCCTCATGAGGTGGGTGCCTCTGGCCTGGCTAGCCCATAACCAAGAGTTACTTTACTATATAACCTGTTAGTTATGGTCTAGAGTCCTTGTTAAAATTCCAAGGTTCTAGGGATATTGGCTG